TCCCACTACTGGTCTAGCGGGAAATTGACAAAACGAGTAACTCGAGTAGGCCGGAGATTTCCATTTGCTGGCCTAAAAAGAGATTGGGCTGGACCGAATGCCACAGTAGTTTAACGGCCCACTCAGTCCAGTCTCAAATAAACTCCTTAAACCCAAGCCCAAGAGAATCAAATCTCTGTCCTTGTTCGCTGAACCTCGAACTCAGCTCTGGATTCCGAACCTCAGCCTCGTCTCCCGAGTCTCAACATCATAGCTTATTCAAACTCTCCTTCTCCGCTGTTGATACAATCCGAGCTGTCAGGGGTTGAAGTTGCAGAATTCAATCTTTCCCTGAAAACCCTAATTCCCAATTCCTTTGTTTGAACAAGTAATTTCTAATCCTGATGTCGCCTTCCTAAGTAATCTAATTGTATGAATTTCAATATTTTTCTGAATTTTGATTGTTTCAATTTCTGTCCGAATGAAGATACAATGCTTGATCAATAAAGATCGCAGCTTTCCGGAGTTCAACAACGGTAATGCCGGCTTTTATTCATCTGAAGTATTCGCTTTGATGGTCGTTCTTGCCAATGTAGTTGCAATATGTACTTTGTCAATCTTGTCGGATTATTTCTAATTTGAATTTTTGTTTTTTTCATTGTGAAATTGTGTTTCTGAGCAGTTGGTTTGGTTGATTGGTTATTTTTGGAGTTGAAACGATGGCGCAGAGCAATTGGGAAGCAGACAAGATGTATGCGTACTGTTTGCTGATGTTTTTTGTTTGTTTTTTTTTGTTGTTTTAGTAATTTTATGATAATCTGAGGTTCTATTGATCTTTCCTTTTCTTTTTCTTTTTTTTTTTGTTGGTAGGCTTGATGTGTACATATATGATTATCTGGTAAAGAAAAAATTGCACAACACTGCAAAGTCCTTCATGACAGAAGGGAAAGTTGCCCCAGATCCAGTAGGTAATATTTAGCTTATACATTGTTTTATTCTGGTCTAGGTTATGCATGAACCTGTACCAGCAAAAATGTTGGCACGGTGAACAGGGTTTTCCATCAAATCGGTTTCTTTTGAAATTAATGACTTTGTGATGCTCTTTTGCTTTGAAATGAAATGTAAAAGCAAAGCACTGGCATGCAATGTATTTCGGATAGCTTGTTTATATACCATTATTTTTATTTAAATTAGAATGTTGGATTTATTTAACTTGGAAAGTAACTTGTGATTGATTTAGTGCTCATTTTGATGCTCCTGGCTTGGTTCGCCTGAAGTTAATTTAGTGCACTGTTGATTGTGGACATTTTCTTTGAGTGGGTGGTGAATCTAAGAATGTTCTTATTTATTGCAGCAATTGATGCTCCTGGTGGTTTCCTTTTCGAATGGTGGTCTGTCTTCTGGGACATATTTATATCAAGAACAAATGACAAACACTCTGAGTCTGCTGCAGCATACATAGAGGTGGGTTGGTTCTTAGAATTCAAGTTTTATTATTGCTATCAATTGATTATGCAATTACTAACTGTTTACATATCTGTGTTATTGTCATGTAGGCACAACAAATGAAAGTGAAAGAGCAACAGCAGCTACAGATGCAGCAGTTGCATTTATTGCGCCAGGCTCAATTGCAACGGCGAGATTCTAGTCATCCTTCTCTCAGTGGTCCTGCGAATCCTGTTTGTTCTGAAGGAATGCTTGGGCAGTCGAATGCCAGTGCATTGGCTGCCAAAATATATGAGGAACGCATGAAACACCCAAATGCTATGAATTCAGAGACAGCACAACCGCTTCTTGATGCTCGGATGGCCCTTCTAAAATCAGCAACAAATCATCATGGGTATGTGTGCTTGTAACTTTAAATGAACTGCTTTGTATTTTTTTTCCTTTTCCTCACTTTTTTTTCTGGTGGATGACTGATTCCATCTCTCTTCTACAAACAGTCAGTTAGCTCAGGGAAATCATGGAAGTGTAACTGCCGCATTGCAGCAAATTCAGGCATGAACTCTTCTATAAACCATTATAGCTACTTGGATAAGATGTCCCTGCAAAACCATTTTCACGCACTCTGTTTTGCTCTTTCATTTTGGTTGAACTGCTGATTCTTTTTTTTTTTTTTCTTTTTTTGGGGTAGGACATCAAAGGTGATGTAAACATGGGTGCTGCCCAAAGATCTATGCCTATGGATCCTTCATCTATTTATGGACAAGGAATCATGCAGTCAAAACCTGGAATTGGTAATACAGGTACTCTACCTTATAGCATGGAACTCATGATGATACAAATTACAGCTTAGTTAACCATGCAACTGAAGCCCAAATTGAAATGGAATAACAGAAATCAAAAGCCTAATTATGTCATTTTATTCATATCTATTTGTAAACCACCACAAATTTGTTATTCTGTGTCTCATTTTGGACATTATTGTCATTACATCACTGAAGATATGCCTCCAACTTGAGTACTCAAATTTCATTTCCATAAGTCAATTCAGCATAATCATGTTAAAATATCTTTTATCATCAGATGCATTGATTTTCTAATTTTCCACTGCCATTTTACTTCATTAAAAACCTATAATTTTCATTTCAAAAAATAATAATAATTAAAATAAAATAAAATCTTTTTTATCGTTCATATTCAACTTGTGTGCTTCTTAAACTTTTGAAAATGGTCTGTGAATGCAATATAAAGCCATGTGAGTTTGATAAATATTGATAGTCCATCATATGCTTGGTGCTTCAGTGGCTTTATAGGGGATTGGGTGAGCTTGTAGTTTGTTTCTTTCTTCTGCTGAGTATATACTCTGAAAGCAATTGTTATTTTTAATGAAGTCAGCGTAACTTATGATTGAAGGCACCATATGTGAGCAATTCTGGCTCATGGACTGTTAAGTGATCGCTTTTATTGTGAATTTACTTATGCTTCAATCTCTCCCCTTTTACTGAAGGTTTGAACCCAGGAGTTGGTAATCTTCCATTGAAGGGGCGGCCATTAACTGTAAGTTCTGAAATGAACTTCTTTCTTTGTTTTCATTGCAAATATCTCAGGAATTGATTGTTCATAACTGAAGGTTTAACCAAATTATACAGGGCATTGATCAAATTCGGCCAACTTTAGGTACACAAGTGCAAAATCCATTCTTACAGAATGCAAATCAGTTTCAGCTATTGCCACAGCAACAACAGCACTTGGCACAGGCCCAGACACAAGGTAGTCTTGGTAGTTCACCAATGTATGGAGATATGGATCCTCAAAGGTTTGCAGGATCTTCTAGAGGAACTTTAAATGCAAAAGAGGGCCAGGCAACTGCAAATGATGGATCTATAGGTTCTCCAATGCAATCAACTTCATCAAAAGTATGATACCTTCTTAAAATACTAGCTTTAAACATTAGTCCTCGTGATACATGTAACAACTTCATGCTGCAGAACTGGGTATTTTTCCCTTTCATCAACTTGTTCTGATGTTTCCTCCTTGTTTTGCTTGCTTTACTCGTATGCCATTATTGTCTCTTCTTTTATTGCGAGGGTTCAACTGTTAGATTGAAATGATGAAGTCTTGCCTCTTTCTAATTTTTTTTTTTTTACATCTGATGCCACCTTCAGCTAGCTGGAAAATACAGCGTGTCCTCATAAGGTTAATTACAGTGTCATCAACACAATTGGTAGCCTTCTTAGATATTTAGGCCTAATGCCTGTATCTTCCAAGTATTACCAATCAAATGATGTGTCAGGCCTGAGCTGGGAATGAAAACAATCAAATTTTTATATTTCCACTGATTTTTTGCAGCTGAGGATGCACTGGTGGATGTATATGGTTTAGACACTTGGAGCTTGAGCCTTCACAGATGTGTCACTAAGAAAGAGTGATGTGATACACATGGAGGGAATTTGGGCTAAGTCAATTGGCTTAAAGTTGTTTGGAGTTTTTTGTTCATACATCTTTCAGAGAGAATGGCTTTAAAGTTTAAATTTGACATGCCAGAAAAAATGATTCATACGGTTAAGTGTCAATCTGTAGAAGTCTCACATTAAGTCTTAGTAGAGTTGTGCTATTTACAGCCAGCAGGGGCATGTGAACTAACAAGAAAATGGAACTTCATAATGGTTGGGTGAAAGAAGAGGAAATAAGTTTGAAAAGCAAGAAGTAGTAAGATCTTGTTATGACAAACTGAAGATTTCCCTGTGACCTGATCAATTTTCTGTAACGTTATATGTATGTATGTGTTGTGTGTGTGTGCGTGCGTGCATGTGCATTTGCATGCTTCTACTAGCTTGTAGTCATGCCATTTGCTGCATATCTTCTCTATATGATAAAAGATAAAATGCATATGCATTCAGTAATCACCTTCCAGTTCACACTTTTATGGTAATTTCCAAAGGAATGTCCAGTTCTAACTTGGTCCAGATTTTAATGTTCTATTTTATTTTTAAAAGATCTCACTTGTTATCTTGTTGGTCAAAAACAGCCAATACTACTGTGCTGATATTTTCTGAGCTTTTTCCTACGCAGATGAACCTGCCACCGATACGACAAACTTCCTCTCAACAAGATCCTTTGCAGTCACAGCAGGTGCAACATGTTTTGTATATTTCTCTTGTATTCATTTCTTGGTTGTTGCAACTTGCTTTTTATGCTGCTGCTAGCTGATCCATATGTAATTTTATGTGATGTTGTAATATGTGGCTTTCTTTTTATTTTGTCTTTTTCCTTATTGTATATGAAAGTGACTGATGCTGCCTGTATGTTTTGATAGAATAACCGGAAAAGGAAAGGGCCATCATCTTCTGGACCTGCTAACAGTACCGGCACTGGAAACACAATTGGTCCTTCCCCTAACTCTCAACCATCAACTCCATCAACGCATACTCCAGGTGATGGAGCTGCTATGATGGGAAATATGCAACATGGTGGTAGCATGTCAAAATGTTTGATGACATATGGATCTGATGGAACAGCTGGTATTGCATCATCAACAAATCAGCTGGTATGTACCTTTTAAAGATTTCAACCAACAAAGCCTATAGTTCTGAAGGAGGAATTTCAAACCTGTAATACTGAGGACATGTTAGTGTTACAACAATTTTGCATGGATTGATTGCTATAGCACACACCTTGTTTGACTTGTTACAAGTTCTTCATAAAAGTTGCCTATGAGATTATTCAGAACTGAAATCCAAGTAATGTTATAATCAGTAGGCTTAGTATTGTTTATCTGCCAAGCATTCACAAATCCAAATGTTATGCTTAGTATCATTAATTTGTTCAGTGCGACGTGTTACACATGGTGTATTTGTGCCCAAATTTATTTTGATATATGCTAGATGTTGTAGCACTGAGAATTTTATTGTTAACCTGAATGAACCTCCTATAAGAAAACGTTCGGTGTCTAGTTTTGCCAATATCCTTGCTTGATATTGTGTATGTGGTTGTCTATTGTCCTCGATGGTTCTCTTGATGCCATAGCTGCATGGTCAATGGAGAAAAATTATCCCCTTGCTCCAAAAATAAGTGTCTATTTTAGTGATTAGATTTTTTTAAATGTATTTTTTAGTTGCTTTGTTTACCTAATACCTACCTTTTGGGTCTTCAGTTCTCTATTCTAATTTGTTCAGTTAAACTAGTTCAACTTCAAAAGCTGATAACCAGGTAGGTTCCTGCTTGCCCCCAGAAAAAAAAAAAAAAAAACAACCCTGAATCAGATCCATATTTCTTCACTAATATCTAATAATCAAAATCCTAATTCTCAATTACAATTTTGTAACTTGAAGAATCTAAGTTTTGACTTGCATCAAATATCCCTGTCATATGTATATAGCCTAGAATAAACAACTTTCAAGTTTCAGAACGCCTGCTTACACGCTGGAATTCCTTAATGCAGGACGATATGGAACATTTTGGAGATGTTGGCTCTTTTGATGACAATGTAGAATCTTTTTTATCACATGATGATGGAGATGGAAGAGATTTGTTTGGCACATTAAAACAAAACCCTTCAGAGCATACAACTGAGACTTCAAAAGGTAATCAATGATCATATGCTTTTGGTGGTGCTATTCTTCAAAATGAATCTAACACTTGCATGTTTTCTTGATTTCAGGATTCAGTTTCAATGAAGTTAGCTGTATACGCAAAAGCAATGGCAAAGTCACCTGCTGTCATTTCTCTTCAGACGGAAAGCTATTAGCTAGTGCTGGGCATGACAAGAAGGTATGATAAATTGTAGCATGCAAGGAATTTATTGTAGTTTAGAGTATATTAAAGGGTTTCAGAAATCTGGGAAGAAACTCTCAATTATTGTCATTGTGCATTGCTCTCTTATTTGCAAAAGTAATTTCACTCTAAGTGGTTCAATAATCTTTATTTTATAACAATGCATAATGAGATGTGCTATAGTTACTCAAATAACAGATTGAAATAATATCAAGATTTCCGTGGTTGTGTTTTTCATGTCAGTAGGCTGTTCTTTGGGACATGGACACTCTGCAAACTAACTACATGCTGGAGGAACACAGTCATATTGTTACTGACATTCGCTTCAGACCAAATTCAACTCAGCTGGCAACATCTTCATTTGATACAACTGTGTGTGTTTGGGATGCTGCACAGGTAAAACTGCTACCATCTTCTTAATATTTTATTTAGTGTTTCAACTTTTGTCACTTATATAAAATTTCAATTGAAGCAAATTCTAGTTTTCAATTTGGAGTTGTGGCTAGAGGTTCTCAAATCAAATTGTGTGTGTCTTTGGCTAATATATGCATCCACTTTATCAATGGGAGAGAAGGCCAGTAAAGTACCTTAAATGTTAGCACAATTTCTCTATCAATGTTTACATGCTTAGAGGGTGTAGTTTGTGAAGCAAATGTGAATGAGTGTGCAGCCAGGTGTGGTTGTTGGGGGTTAGGAGCTATTGGATGGATGATGATAGGTTCTTGTGTCTGTAAATTGTTTTGTGTGTGTGTGCATGAGTGTCTGATGTGCTTTTATCTGATAGAAAAACCATATGTTGCAAAACCTGAAATAATGTTGGTGTCCTATAGAATTAGGAGTTACCAATTCTACTTTGTTCAAGTTTCAATTAATATTATGTTCTGATAACTTGGGGACACACTTCTGGTATCCTTGCAGCCAAATCGTTGCATACGGAAATTTAATGGGCATACTGCACAGGTGATGTCCCTTGATTTCCACCCTAAGAAGAATGAGTTATTCTGCTCTTGTGATGGTAACAATGAGATCCGATTATGGAACATCAATCAGCATTCTTTGATTCGCATCTCCAAGGCTAGTCTTCTAATTCCCTTTTTATGCTCTGTACTTCTAAAGTTCTGGACGTTCTGTTTGTTTGAAGTTTGTTAAAGGGCTTTTGCTAAATGATTCAGGGAGGCAGCAAACAAATTAGGTTTCAGCCAAGAATAGGGCAGTTTTTGGCTGCAGCAGCAGAGAATGTTGTGTCCATCTTTGATGTTGAGACTGATAGATGTATACATTTGTTACAGGTATTATTATTATTTATTACTAAATTCAAGTTACTTAGAATGAATATCCTATTACTTCTTTCATATGCTCTGCATAATAAATTTTAGAACTTATACATGTTTCCATCTGCTGCTACCCTCTGACAGTGCATTATTTTGATTCTCAGGGGCACTCTACAGAGGTCCACTCTGTTTGTTGGGACACAAATGGAGAATGTTTAGCCTCTGTCAGTCAAGAGTCTGTGAAAGTATGGTCCCTGACCTCTGGAGATTGCATTCATGAGCTCAGCTCCAGCGGAAACAAATTCCATTCTTGTGTTTTTCATCCAAGTTTTTCCACACTATTGGTCATTGGTGGCTACCAGGTACCATTTGTTTTCTTATGGTTAGTTATCAATGATATTGATCTAACTTATATAGGTTGGGTCATCTAGGAACCATGTAGTTCCCTACTGTTACCTTACCACCAGGTCTAAGTGCCATCTTCACCCTGCACTTTAGCATCCTGGAAAACCAAACTATTTTTCTGTTGTGTTTTGCCTACACTGTAGATTGTTGCATTAGGTCTCCCATGGCAGCCAATAGTTTTACAGGGTCTATCCTTGATTTTGATCCTATATTTGGTATTCTTAACAACAGTTTTGTTTTACATTTTAATACTAGAGGTTGAACTTTCTGCCTAAAAAATGTCTAATAAATTAACAATGAAGTCATTTCATTGCGTTATATCGATTAACTGGCCTTGACCTCTGATTTATGTCATCTGCTAATTTCTTGTCTTCTATGTTTAACTAATCTTTTACAGTCGTTGGAGCTGTGGAACATCGCTGAGAACAAGTGTATGACAATTCCCGCTCACGAGTGTGTGATATCAGCCCTGGCACAGTCACCAGCAACCGGGATGATTGCCTCTGCCAGTCATGACAAATCCGTAAAGATATGGAAATAACTTTTCTGCTCCTTCAGTAGATATAATCCTCCGGTAGCAAGTCTTTTTCCCCTTCAACTACCAAATACCAGGAGATTTCAAAAATGGAATCGCACAACCTTAATTTCATTTGATTTGATTTTTTTTTTTTTTATACTACATTAATAAGCAAAATGTCAGTTTCTTATTGTCAGGAACTGCTGCTTTAGTGTCGGACCATTGAGTGCTAAATACATTTATCCAAAATTCAGAACGATGTTCTTCTTTATGTTCTGGCTTCGAGTGATTCTGATATTGTCATACAGAAGATGTTGAAAAATTTCTCAGTATCAACTTTCAATAACTTGTATATACATTGATTAAGCTGGTAGAGGTCTTCATTAATCAAATGTAACTTAGCTAAAGCGTGTGTTATGTGGAATAATGGAAACTATTATTCATTTTATTAAAATACTTTACTCCAAAAAAAGTGTTTTTCATGTATAATGAGTTTATTGAAATATTTTTAATGAAACTTGTTTTATTAATGATATTTTATTAATTTTAATATTTTAACTACACTTTTAATACGTAGCCTGATAGACTTTCATATTATGTCTGTTTTGGTTCCATTAATTGTGAGTGGAGAAGATTGCTCTGCCCTCCAAACTAGAGGCATTTGAGCACCTTAAGCACTAGCATCAAACCGTAACGGAAATTCGATGTGACAATTTAATTGAACCTTCAAACGGCAAATAGATGGAAAGAAGATTGTCAATAGATTTTGCTTGCTAATATTCAGCATTAAAAACTCATGTTTTAGTTCGAATATCGTTCGAATATCTATCTCTAATTACCTCTTGTTTTTATGTATCATTTCGTCCTTTCAATTTTTTTTTTCTTTTTTGATTAATTCACAATTCAGAAAGAGAAATTTTCAAGGTATTAATGAGACTCAAAACTCTGATCAACTAATCCAAATGCCTTAAGATTTAAAAGCAAACTATTTATACTTGAAGGTCCGGTTCCATTTCATTCTTCCATCTTTTGTCATTTCATACTTCAATCTTTTGTTGGTCTAGTTAATGAAAATGTTAGGCACATAATGTTTATGTATAATATGACGTGTGATTTCTTAATTAACTCTTCTTGATTCAAAAAATGTTAATGTATTTTGTTAAACCAACAGCGATTTATTAATGATAACAAATTTTATAATTATTCTATATCACATAAAAATATAAGTGAATGAAATCAATTCATTCATCTTACCAAAACAAACAAATAATAACTCTTTTCATATTCATGATGAGGATATATTGTCATAATTTTAGTTGCTAAAAACGAATAAGAATAAGAGTGGTCTTCTATGGGATATTCTAATGGTTTAAAAATTTTAAATTTTAATTTTAAGATAAATAAAAAAATTTAAAAAGAAAAAAGTTATTCTTCTTATATTATATATTTCATTATTTGATGTACTTAAAATAAAACAAATAAAAGTGCGTTTGTATATTGAAATTCTTAAAACAAAGAAATAGTTATATTGAACGAGTCCCGTTTGTCTACACTCTACACTATATAAAATTCCCAAAAAAAAAGAATTCATTGCATCATGAAAAACCCTCACATTCGAAGGATTTCCTCTCCTTTGAGATATTTCAAAGTAAATTTACTATATAAAAAATATTTAACTTCATGAAAGTATTTTTAGTTAGAGTATATTAAATTATAGAATATAAATTATTAAAACCAACTACTTGTTAATTTGAGTTAAAAGAGTTTAATTTTTCTTAAATAAAGTTTTAAATCAAACTTTGTGAATAAATAAGTAAGTGTTAAAAGAGTTTTTATAAGTTTAATGTAATTTAACTTCAAATTAATTAATATTTAATGTAATTTTTAAATATTAAAAATTAATTAAAAATTATTAAATAAAAAAATTTACCATAAAAGGTTTATTTTTATTTAATAATAAAATGTATAATTTAAATTATATAATAATTTGTTTTTCAAGAAAATGACGACAATAAATCATCAATGTAAATTTTCAAAAAATTAAAAAATTTCTCATAATGCAAAGGGAGGTGGCATACACGCAATATAGGAAGGGTGTTTTAGAGTATAGACACAGCAATGGAAGTCCTCGGAGTCATGATGTTGAGGGGGGTATTAATGATCGTAATAAAGAAAAGTGGAATTTGTTTAAGAAAGCCGTGAAAAGAAAAGAAGGGGGGGGCTTTGTGGGGGTGGGGTTATTGCCACAGCCACTAATGTTAATGCCACAGCTTTTTTCAGTTATTTGACCATTAACCCACGCGGAGAAGGTGGTGACTGCTGCAAGTTGGATTCAAATGAGGGGTATAATAGTCAAATAACTGAAAAAAGCTGTGGCATTAACATTAGTGGCTGTGGCAATAACCCCACCCGCTTTGTGGGGACAGCCGGAATCCCGTGATTGAGAGGGAAGCACCATCATTGGATGGTTTTCCCCATTCATACACGTTCAGGTTTTCATTTTTATCAACCTTTCGTACGGCAATAATGACTCTAGGGGAGGGGTATTTGGCAGTACAAAGATAGTCGTAGTATGAGATTAGTAGATAATGATTTGGACTAATTAGCCAATAACTGCAAGGCTATTGGCTATTATATATAAACCGATTTGTTTTCAGTTGCATTTAAAAGGTCAATTTTTGTTAAGTTAAATAATATATATTATTAATGTTTGGTATTCAAAAGGCATGCATATGACCTTACAGATCAATAACATTAGTCAATGAACATGTGTACTCCCCCTCTTCTCCTCTTCTCCTTCCTTTTCCTTAGTGAGTTTCGAATTTGTCATGTCAAAATGTTCAAAAAAAAAGTCACATTAATTTTTTATTAATTTAGAATTGTACTAAATTAAATTTCATAAAAAAAAGTTTTAACATCTATTTTATTTGAAGAATTTAAATTTACAATTTTACTTAAGGAGAATTGAGATGTTTTCACTTATATCAACGTGTTGTTAGTAATAATTTTTAAATCTAATTGCTCCATGTTAAGTATCATAAATGGTATCCTCTTCATTAATTTTAGTAATCTTAATTTGATTTTTTATTTTTTAAATATAAAGTTTAAATAATAATTTAGCATATAATATAAATAATAATTGAAATTTTTTATGAAATAAAAATACTTGATAAAAGCTTCACATAAAAATTTTAATTATTATTCACATAAATTATTAAATTTTTATTTAAAATTTATAGTTAAAAAGTCAAAACATCAAACTAAAACTATTAAAAATAAATAAATAAAGTAAATCTTACCAATAAAAGCTTAATCAAGTTAATATTAATTAATTTAAAAATTTTAATATCAATAATACTAAATAGTTAAGTCTCAATATAATTTAAAAAAAAAAGAAAAGTAAATCTTATCGAATATTTGAATTAACTTTTTTGAAGCCACTAATAATTAATTATTAATATTTGATAATTAATAATTATTAATATTTATAATTCAAAATATTTAAATCATTTTATTAAAGTTAATAGTTAGTAACTATTTTTAATAAATCAAAATAAATACCCTTTAAATTGCTAATACTGTATTAAAGATGGTTTGTCAAAGGTATGTATTGAATTTCAATTAAAAATAACAATAAATGAACGGAGTTTTTGTTTTATTGCACTCTTTTACTTATGAGTAATTAACATTAAAGGACACAATTACATCATTATCAACTCGGTTTAATTTAAATGTGGGCCTTAAAGATTCTCCGGAATAGTGAAAAGGCAAGATTAGGCGTTCGAATTAGTGGGACGTGGGTCCTACTTCACTCTCTACGGCTGGTAGCGGTAGTTTAATGACGTGCTACAACAAGCGCGTGCTTTAGCACTTGTCTTTTTCCAACTCTTTTATGCAGAAAACCGGTGAAACCTCTTACAAACCCTTCTAATTGTTTATCTTTGAAATTATTAGTCTCTTTTGACATACATTTTATTTATTTTAGCCTATAAATTATGTTCTTATTGTAATTAGTTTAAAATAAATAAAATTCCATCATATGAGTTATTGGACTCTCTCTACTTCGTTATCATATCTTTATCAATGTCATATTGATATAAATATGATTCATTTAAACCTATAAATGTGAAAAAAATTCCACTTAAAATAAAATCTATATATGCTTTAGGTGTGATTTTTTTTATCTCCATAGATCTAAGTGAACCATATCTATTTTAACATGGCACTAATGAGAATAACTTAACAGAATAATGATAGTCACATGATTTAAGTAATAAGATTTTATCTATTTTATGTCAATTACAATAATAATGTAAAATTTATTAACTAAAATATACAATATTTATTAAGAGGGTAATGATGTTAAAGGCAAATAATTAGAGGGTTTCCAAGGGATTTATACCTATGGCATAAATTTCTCAAATTTTTAATGAAGATAAAATTTAAATTAGTTGTTAAAAGACTTTGATTGGCCCAGTTATACACCTACACACCCAAGATGAGGAGACAGGCCCACGTGGGTAGTAACACGTGGACCCATGTGGGCAGTAACACGTGAACCAATTGGATGAACACATGTCTGAGCTCATGTCAGCATATAGGATTATAAATACCCCCAACTACTTCCGTACAAGGTATTAATTATTTTACGTCTCTCTTTGTAATTACTCTTTGAGAGCATCTCTCTCTAGAATATTGAGTATTGCTGACTTGAGTGTCGAAATGTTTTCTTCGAAAAAAACACCCTTGAAAATTTCAGGTGTGAAAGCAACTGAGGACATCAACAGTGCTGGATCACAAAGCTGCCCAAACAGTACGGATACAAAACCCTTACCAACCAAAATGGATTGTGTATGGTAATTCTTGAACTTTTGGACCAAACGTTCCTAAACCAGAACTGCCATTTATCTAGTACATTTGCGTTTCTAGTGAAGATGTTAATTGCAAAAAACTAACATCCAGTAACCCTCCATTAATTTTTCGGTCAAAAGGTATCCATAAATACAATAAAACTAGTTTACCCGTTATAATGCTTGCAGATATCAAAAAGAAAATTTAATACAATTGTTGAAAAAGAACTTCTTTTTTTTTTTCTTTCTTTCTTCCACAATAGTAATGAGCTGACACATAATGCAAATAGAATAAAAATTAATAAATGATTTTTTTCTTTAAAGGTGTAATTGATATATTTTTTATATAAAAATAAAAATTGATCTTTTGATTGATGTTTTTGAAAACCAACGCTGCGTTTTTTTTCCCCCCAAATTTACTCTCTCAACTAATTAATAAGTAATGAGGGAGAAAAAACTATAAAGGCTTTTTTTTAATATGTATCTTTAAGATATAAGTTAA